GTAGGCGTATCATCTTTGAAGTCATATTATTACTTGAGATCTTCAAGACAAGATGGTTAATTAAGAGAGCAATTACATCCTTAAATCATACACGTCTTGCATTGGCGAAAGGCTATTTAAGCTTCGTTTCCTATTTTCAAAAATTTCATCAAAAAAATGGAATCTAAAACCTTCCAATTTGGTTTTCTGCCGCCATTAAAAATATACAAACAGCAGTCGTAGTTGCCAACAACGCCAAATCATTTGCAGCATAATCCTATATAGTTAGCTCCTATTATCTTAACGTGATTTGGCATTGAATTACATCGCTGATAACATCTTAGTAACCCTTCTTTATGAAAGTTTATAAAACCCAGCACGCGACTGGTTCTGACACTTCTCACTCGCGGGAGTTAAGTGCGCAATGGTTTACTTAATTGACTAGTCGTTCTAACACATGCATAGCTCAACAAGGAGTACCCAATTGCCAAAATTTGCTCGGACAGTGCGTATGCTAAACAAGAATACACAAGCAGACGTGATAGTAACTATACTTATTTTTACCACTGCCCAAAAGCAAAATATGTTGTTGGACAAAACTTCGAATAAACCTGATTATTACTGCCACAACTGGTGTGTGTTCTTCAAGGAACGCCGTCTTCAAAAATTCGATTTTTGTATGGATAATCATATTCATACTTCATATGTCGCCGCTTACTGGATGGGCTCTGTGCGAGTAGACTGAAAGCTAAAGTTAAACGTACCCATAACCGCAGAATTTACCACAGCACGACAGAATATCAGCATCGGAGATGAGGGTCTGAACATTAGTCGACATTGATCAATTTAACGTCTAAGTTGATAAAGTGTCACCTGTTTCGCGCCTTTTGACTGAATGCACACTCTGTCAGACATGGCCGAAGCTGCTGATACAGCCCAGCAGGATCCTAGAACAAAACTGTTCCTCAATGTGCTAACTTTGTCATTTCCACGAGTTAGTTTCTACCGCAGTTGGCTTGATCACGGATAAGTTTGATAGAGTTACATTCTGGCCACTTTTCTCGAGCATCGAAACTAAAATGATATCGCGATCACGAATTTTATGAATTGATGCAAAAATCATGCACGTTACACACCTTTCTGGAATCTCTTCATCAGAGGCGATTTCTGTTGCCATTTGAATACTCTCATCTTTTTCAAGGTATTTAGCGTCCATTATTTTGGATTTGAATTGCTCGTAGGACATCTTGGGAATACCTGCCTGTAAAAGCAACAACATCTCATATGGATTAGTATAAATGCTCAGGAAAATTTATTCTCTGTCATAATTTTTAGCCGACTACTACTCCCCATAAATAGCACACCATAGAAATATGGAATCAATTGTACCTTGAAAAGTGGCTGGCTACTCTTTAAGTAGTCGACTAACGCCTGCCCTGTCAAATGTCTGGCAAATTCAGGAATTGGACGAGGTTTGAACTCGGCTAAAGAGCACTGATTAAGACAAATTGGATTTGGTGCTGCTCATAGCTCATTATTGTCTATTACCTACCATTCGCCACTACAAGGACCGCGAGCAATACTGAGAGGATCATCTGAAAACGAATTATTGATCAACTTAATGTTGCGGTATATAATACAACTAAGAAGAAGTTTCTGTCTTCCAAATTTCACTTGAAAGTTTGCAGAATGGGTACTTACCGTGCTTGTCCGCTTGATGCAATTCAAGACGATTGGGAAATTGAGGGTGTTGCTT